AACATTGAGTCTCCTTTTTACCATAAGCCTAAATCGCCATAAAGATTGTTTGTGGATTAGACAACCTTTTAATTTGGTGGGTGGATTTATTCCTAAGGCTTCACCTTAGAATAAGGAAGTCGGGTCTGGAAGGTAGGTCTTGAGGTGACCACGGTGTTTGGAGATGCACAGTCTTGACCTTCATTCAAGCTGTTCAGGTATTTCAGTGACAGCTAAGCGAGACTCAGCAGGGTGGAAGATTTGTTGGAATGTTTTATTCTGTTGAGTACCTCACACATTAATGGTGGGGGGGGCTGAAGTTGCAAAGATGAAAAAAAACAACTCTTGAGGTTGAGGAGACAAATAACTAGACTCCAATGTAAGAAGTATAAAAATAGAAGTGCTATGGTGCACTTTAGTTAGAGTTTTATCTTATACCTGTTTATATCAACTTATGTATTTTATCGATTCACTTTCCCTTATGAGTTTTATGTGTACTATTCTGTCTGGGAACTATTTGGATAATATGTTACATACGCAGTTACCAAAGGTTCGATTAGGGTCGATTCTGACAATCCGGGGAACTTAAGTTGGAGTCCGGCACGTGAGGATCTCAGATGTTTGTAAAGCAGCATTAGTGGTTTCCAGTCAGTGCCAGGAAGCAGGGGACGGCATGGTGGGTAAGGGCTTAGTAACCTATTTTTGACTGCTAGTCAGCTTATGAGCATCTGACTTTGTGGTAAAATAATATTGAGGAGGAAAAAGAATCTTAAGGTTTTCAGACTGCCATTTGCGTGGCCCTGGGTTTGACAACAGCGGTAGTAAATGCCATCACTCTGTGTGCTTCTCTCCTGCCGAGGGCCTCGTGGTGCTGTGTATGAGTGGGTCTGTTGTTCACTGGCTAATTGATGTCCCTGGTGCCACTCTCAGGAAGGAAGTACGTTTCCTCGCAGAGAAGAGAGGTCAAGGTGGGATGATGTAACCTTTGATCGTCCATCCCACTTGAACTTTCCTAAGACCCTAAGGCTTTCTGTTGCTTAAAAAGAACATTACTTAGGGCAGAAGCTTTCATACTTTTAGTCACTTTCACATCCAAAGTAGTCGATGGCTATTCTTTTTGTTTTTTTAAGTTTATTTATTTATTTTGAGAGAGAGAGCAAAGTGCACACGTGTGCACAAACTGGAGAAGGGTGGGGGGGCGGGGAGAGAGAAACCCAAGCAGTCTTAATGCTGTCAGCACTGAGCCCAACTCGGGGCTTGATCTCACAGACCATGAGATCATGACCTGAGCTGAGATCAAGAGTTGGATGCTTAACCAACTGAGCCACCCCGGCACCCCTCAATTTGCTATTCTAAAGTGGATTATGCATTATTTCCAACGACCACTTATTCTCTAAGACTTAGTATTTTTGCATCTGTTCTCTTTTAACCTATTTCAGCATTTGTGTTTTGATTCCACAATTAGTATTGTCCTGCACATTTCCAATGAGCCAGAAAATTCCTATGTATCTTTTTTTTTTAATGTTTATTTTTGAGACAGAGACAGAGCATGAGCAGGGGAGGAACAGAGAGAGAGAGAGACACAGAATCCAAAGTAGGCTCCAGTCTCTAAGCTGTCAGCACAGAGCCCAATGCGGGGTTCGAACTAAAGAATCGGGAGATCATGACCTGAGCCGAAGTCAGACACTTAACCTACTGAGCCACCCAGGTGCCCCTCCTGTGTATCTTCTGTAGCTGTATTGGCTACACTTTAATAATAGTAGCAAGACATTTTTCATTGTCAAAAGGATTGTAAACTAAATTGGGATGCTTTATCTAAAATACCTGGGGTCACCTGGGTGGCTCAGTCATGGTCTCCTGGTCGTGGGACCAGGCCCCAAATTGGGCTCTGCACTGGGCATGGAACCTGCTTGGGATTCTCCCTCTTTCTGCTCCTAATCAGCTCTCGTGTGCGCCCTGTAATAATAAGTAAGAAAGTAAGTCAGACCTGAATAAGTGATTGCCCATCCACAAGCTATATCTACTTCCCTTTTGAATAAGCTTCCTATTCACTTTTGGATGGTATTATTTCAGGGAAAAGAAACTGCACATTTGTTGGGTTCCATACAAAAGGATCCTGATTTAATTAGAAATACAGTTTTACATTTTGGTTTACTTTTTAAACTGGATTATTCATGCTGTCAAATTTCATAGCCACCCAATAGAGACATTGCTTTGCAAGATGGTGCTATGCGAGATGGGGGGTGGGGGGCATTGTTTATCTTTTACGTTCATAGGACTTGGGACCTGTGGAAGAGTGCTTGGTTTGACATGGGTTGAATGGGGAAGCCAGTCCCCTTACATGAGTTAGCTATGGTACAAAATAATTTTTACTTGTAGTTGTGTTTAAAATTCAGCCTCTTTCAGGGGCGCCTGGATGGCTCAGTCGATTAAGAGTACTGACTCTTGATTTTTGGTTCAGGTCACGATCTCAGGGTTCGTGAGATCTACCCCTTCACTGGGCTCCGAGCTGACAGCATAGAGCTTGCTTGGGATTCTCTCTCTCTCTCTGCCTCTCAGAGTCTCTTTCTCTCAAAAATAAATACATAAACTTAAAAACAGTTTTTTTAAATAAAATTTAGTCTCATTCAGATGTGTTCCCTTCAGTCCACTCTGTATGCAAAAGTATGAGCAAGAGGGTTGCTCAAGGATGCTTGTAAATACCTTTGTTTTTAATTTTTATCCTGAATCGCTCCTCTGCTTCTTCACTAGATCCTCTGCTAGAGAAGCGTTCAGGCCTGGCGTTTCAGGGTATTCCAGATACGGTGCCCTTTGGCATGGAGCTTGTGTCTCTCTCCACTCAGAAGGGCAAATGGACTGTGAATTAAAACTTCACCAGGCATTGTTTCCGTCTCTTTCATGCTGCAGTAACGAAATACCACAGACTGGGTACCTTTTAAACAACAAAGACGTATTTCTCACAGTTCTAGAGGCTCGAAGTCCAAGATCAGGGTGCCGGCACACTCAAGTGAGGGCCCTCTTCCGGGTCACAGTCTGTTTCACTGTCCTCATGTGGTGGAAGGGGAAAGGGATCTCTCCGGAGCCTCCTTTATAATCCCATTCGTGAGTGTCCACCTTCATGATGTAAGCACCTCCCAAAGGCCCTGCCTCCTAATACCATCCTCTTTGGGGGTCAGAGTTGCAACATAGGAATTCTGGGGGGACACAAACATTCAGACCATAGCACCTCCCCAGTTTTCATTGTTATTGTCGTTTTCCCCATTCTCTTTATCCCTGAAGTATCCTTTGTGTATTCCTCTCATGCCATCCTCACCTCTGCCATTCTGTGGGGACTCGGGCGGCCTTGTTAAAATATCTGGAATGTTCCCAGCCTCTGCCAGACCTTTGAAGGGCTCGTTTGTCTCATTCTTTGCACTGTTAGCCAAGTTCTAGGTCTGCTGTGGACCAGTTGTGTGTCAGTGGGGCAAGTGTAGGCTTCTTCAGCTTTTCGGGGCTCCTACTTGTGCATGTGACAGCCCACCCGGCATCTCCACCTGGATGGCCCACAGCCACTACTCTATGTGACCAAGACTGGAACAGCCTAGCCACCCCACCCAATCTCTTTTGTGCTCTTCTTGGGCTGCTTAGCTTAGGAAGTGGTACCACCGTCTACACCCCCAACATGCAGTCACCAAGCCCCAAGTCTTCCTCCTGCATACGTCTCCGGTCTGTTCGCTTCTCTCCATTTCCATTGCCACCACTTGAATCCACCTGGCTACCGGGGCAGTATCCGAATGACCTCAGCGCCTCTCTTGCCTCTCTCCACTTGAATCTCAGTTCAGCATCCAAAATGCTTTTAAGATGCTGACCTGATCATGGGTCATAAGGCACTGCCTGTCTGGCCCTCACCAATCCCTCGAGGCACAAGTGCATGGCCTTCAACC